TCAAGCGATTCTCCTACCTCAGCCTCCCAAGTAGCTGGGATTACAGGCGCTTGCCACCACACCCGGCTAATTTTTGTATTTTTGGTAGAGATGGGGTTTCACCAGGTTGGCCAGGCTCGTGTTGAATTCCTGACCTCAGATGAGCAGCCCACATCGGCCTCCCAAAGTGCTGGGATTACAGGTGTGAGCCACTGCACCTGGCCTTAAACCTCTTTTCTTTGTAAATGATCCAGTCTCAGGTATTCCTTTATAGCAGTGCAATAATGGCCTAACACACAGACAGTTCTTCCCAGCTCAGGTTCCTGCTCCACTTTCCCACGTTCTGTCTTCATGTCTGCATCTCCTTCTGTTACGTTGTCACACAAACTCGTTGCTACCATGGTACAATCATGAGTCACCCAGAATCCAGCAACTTTCAATTATATACCATTCAGAATACTGTAAACATGTGCATATGCAGGAACAATCATATTAGTCGTCTCAAACATGAGAAAAAACTAATTTCCTTATACCATTAATTTGCAACAGTATTAAAATTACCTGAAGAGCCTTTTCAAATTATACAAGCACTGAGATGTTAATTCAATGCTTCTTCACAGTCTCTCCTCAAATGCACACACCTGGATCTACCTCATTACAGCAGTGATCCTGTTAGTGAGGGTAGAGGACCCTCAAGTATTTTTGGAAAAAAGCTATAAACCACTTTACCCCTCACTGATCTGTTAGACTCCTTATCAGAATTCTAAGTCTGTAAGTGTGGGGAATATATTTGATTGGTGCAAAAGCAATTGCAGGTTTTGCCACTTAAAAGTAATGGCAAAACCCGCAATTAATTTTGCACCAACCTGAAATATTTTTCTCTTAGCTAAAATTACAGGTTTGATCTTGCTTATAAATAAAACTGTCCCCACAATGTCAGGGGCTTTGTTTGACTTATTCACCATGGGATCCCCAGTGGCTTACAGGTTGGAGACATAACAAGAATCCAGTGAAGATTTACTGAACTAACTCATTTGGAACTCATTTTAAAATGAAAGAGTTGTCATCAACCAGTTTTACCTGAGCAAGACACATTTATCTAAAGTATTAGCAGTGACTGTGATCCATTGTATTTATTTTTGTCTATTTGGCAACCCTTCAAGATTGATTTTCCGTGCAGTTTGCAACTGGCTGCATACTCAAGGACTTCTGTATGTAAACTGAAAGTGATCTAATAACTCTGAGGCATAGGGGTGTGAATGACAGCATGATGTGTGGGTGTCTGAAGTTGGATTGCTAGCGACCTCATAAATACCTCTATACCGATTTATATGTGGTCCCCAGCATAGTATGTGACCATATGTGTTACAGTCACAAAGCCAAGAACTTCTTGAATAAAACACATTAAAGAGACTGATAATTACTTAAATGCTGGTATGCTAACCTGAGGAGCCTCTACCTGTTTGTGATTTAGTCTTTGATTATTCAAACAAGTTGTGTCCTGTAATATATATGTCCATTTGATTGATATATACATATAGCTGAGCATGGTGTCTCATACATGTAATCCCAGCAACTTGGAAGGCTGAGGTAAGAGGATTGCTTGAACCCAAGAATTCAAGACCAACCTGGGCAACATAGCAAGACCCCATCTCTACAAAAATAAAAAATTAAATAGAATGCATAGATGTGTTAATACACACACACAAACACAAACACTGAGATTCTCATGTCAAATAATGCTCCATCCTCCTTCTTGCCCATATCTAGAAAACTGTAAGTTGAACCTGTTTGGATACTTTGAAAATACTGTTCTTATCTATAGTACTTGAAGTTGGGATTATAAAATAATTTTTTTAACTTGCATTTAGCTTTTTTAAAAAATTATCAATTTTTTTCTGGCATTGTGTCCAGAATTGGTTCCTTCCAGTGGGTTTATGGTCTCTCTGACTTCAAGAATGGAGATGGTCCACGTTGAGAGTTAACAGCTCTTAAAGATGGCACGGACACAAAGAGTGAGCAGCAGCAAGATTTATTGTGAAGAGCGAAAGAACAAAGCTTCCATAGCGTGAAAGGGGACCTGAGCGGGTTGCTGCTGCTGGCTGGGGTGGCCAGCTTTTATTCCCTTATTTGTCCCCTCCCATGCTCTGTTTCTGTCCTATCAGAGTGCCCTTTTCTCAATCCTCCCTGCGACTGGTTACTTTTAGACTCCTGCTGATTGGTTGCATTTTACAATCCTCTTGCTAGCTACAGAGCACTAATTGGTGCATTTTACAATCCTAGCTACAGAGTGCTAATTGGTGCCTTTTACAATCCTCCTATAAGACAAAAGTTCTCCAAGTCCCCAGTTGACCCAGGAAGTCCAGCTGGCTTCACCTCTCAACATGATTATAAATTAAGAACACTTCTACCTTGTACCAAAAAACCAGTCTCATCACTTTTTAGCCATACTCATTATGTAAGAACAAAATACGTGAACACTTCATAACACGTATAATTGGAATAAGCATTTTATATTCAGAAAGAAAGCCAGTGATGGAAACGTTGAGAAAAAAATAGTGAAATGAGTCATTCAGAATTTAGATTTAATTAAACTCAGTAATCTTTGTACTTACCAGGTTGTTCTCCCAAGGGAGCGTCGCAAGCAGTGACTCTTGCACCACTTATGTTATTCTAGAAACTATGCCAGCATTAATTAATTTGTGCTGACCTGGAAAGCAGAAGCTTCCTTATCTCACCACTTGAAAACTAACTCCTTGTTCCACATTGAAGATTAGGAAACTTGCAAGGATGAGCTATAGCAACATAGAAAACAGGGCCCCCACAGCAGGAGGGGCAGTTTGAGGATGTACACACAAAGAGGATGTTTCCAGGACCCAGGCTTCACTTCCAGCAAAGATGTTACTGTAGAAGATGGAACTCTTTCACTTAATTGTGTCTATTTTCTTAACTCAAAGCTTTCTCCTGACTAGCACCTCTATCCAAAAATTCCCTGTCCCTGGTATATGAGCAGAAAACAAAGGAACTTAACAGTGTTAACTCTCTGATACATATGAGTGCAAATTCTACCATTAAGAAAATAAAACCAGGCTAGGTCTGGTGGCTCATGCCTGTAATCCTAGCACTTTGGGAGGCCGAGGCAGGCAGATCACTTGAGGTCAGGAGTTGGAGACAGCCTGGTTAACATGGTGAAACCCCATCTCTACAAATAATACAAAAATTAGCTGGGTGTGGTGGTGCACACCTGTAATCCCAGTTACTAAGGAAGCTGAGGCAAGAGAATCTCTTAAACCTGGGAGGCAGAGATTGCAGTGAGCCTAGACCACACCACTGCACTCCAGCCTGGGCGACAGAGCAAGACTCTGTCTCAGAAAAATAAAATAAAATAAAAATATAACCAAAAAGAGACATCCTAAATAGTGACAAATTTAAGAATGTAAGATATACATCACATAGCTGAAGAATTGACTAAAGTGGTTAATATCCCCGCAGAGAAGAACGATTTATGATATTTATAATTTAAGGTTCTAATTATGCTCTGTAAATAGCCAAATAATAACTTTTTTTTGAGACAGGGTCTGTTCTGTCTCCCAGGTTGGAGTACAGTGGCACAATCTCAGCTCACTGCAGCCTGAACTTCCTGGGCTCTGGTGATCTTCCCACCTCAGCCTCCAAAGTAGCTAGGACGGCAGGTGTGTGCCACCATAACTGGCTAATTTTTTTTTTTTTCATAGAGACAGGGTTTTGCCATGTTGCCCAGGCTGGTCTTAAACTCCTGGGCTCAAGTGGTCCTCCTTCCTTGGCCTCCCAAAATGCTGGGATTACCGGCATGAGCCACTATGCCCAGCACTGAATAACCTTTCAAACTAAGAGCTTCTGTGCTATTTAGAATGGCTGGCTCCTGTTAGCAAATGCTAAATATTCTAATTTCCACACTATTTGATTTGTCTTAGGTTCTATCAATATTATTATGTGTTGACGATACTTCATCTTCAGTCATTAATGACCGTCATTCATTCAACAAACATTTACTGAGCACCTACTATGTGCCAGGTAGTGTGGTGGGTTCTGGATTAGTGGGAAAGAATACAAACATGTTTAGGCCAAAATCCATAGCCTCTCAGAGTTCACAGAATTCTATTTGTGCATTTGCAATCGTTGTCAAAACAGACAAAATCGTTGTCTATTTGCCTGAGGCCCTGTCCGTCTCCAGTATAACATAAGGATTATACAAGCAAATGAACTGCAGAATGCAGCAGGAAACAAAGAAAAACAAGGCACATAGTTTCTGAATAGGACTGATGGCACCACTTCCTGGAGTGGGCTTGATGAAAGAGCTGGTGTTGCAGGAGTTCCGGCTTCCACGTATGTTCACTAAAGGCAGCGAATCTAGAATGAAGTCCAAATGATTTTGAGAACAATCGCAAACTGTTGAAGAATCTCCAAAGGAGAAGCATGTTCAGTAAGATTGGAACACTGAATGACAATTCTACCTCAGACACTAAAGCTAGTGCTGTAGCTCGGACATCTCATTGACTTTTCTGAGGCCATTTTCTTGTTAATAATTTATGTGCAGTGATTCATCTACCCAAGAAGTTACAAACTGAAGTTATTCAGGGTGAGCACAAAGTTTCTAGAAAGTTTGATTTGTTGCCAACATTTCAGAATCAGGAGATTTCATGGAAAAGTTCAACTCACAGGTTTCTATTTTTAAGAAAAAAGTCCAGGCACGGTGCCTCACACCTGTAATCCCAGCACTTTGGGAAGCCAGGAGAATCACTTGAGGTTGGGAGTTTAAGGCCACCCTGAGCAACATAGCAAGACCCGATATCTACAAAAAATATAAAAATTAGCGAGGTATGGTGGTACACACCTGTAGAACCAGCTACCCAGGAGGCTGGGGCAGAAAGATTGCCTGCGCCCAGGAGTTTAAAGCTGCAGCAAGCTGTGATTGCACAACTGCACTCCAGCCTGAGTGACAACCTGGAGACCTTGTGAAAGAAAGATAGAAAGAGAAACAGAAGAAGGAGGGAAGGAGGGAAGGAAGGGAGGGAGGGAGGGAGGAAGGGAGGAGGGAGGGAGGGAGGAAGGAAGGAAGGAAGGAAGGAAGGAAGGAAGGAAGGAAGGAAGGAAGGAAGGAAGGAAGGAAGGAAGGAAGGAAGGAAGGGCGGGCAGGTTGACCCACACCTCCATGTGGCAGTGTTTACCTGAAGCAGAGCATTGTGCCCCCTTTTCAAGCTGGCACGTGCTTTGCAGTCTGTGGCGCACCCTGCCCACTGACTTCACTCATCCTCCCACTTCCCTCCTGGCCACTGCAGACATTTGAGTTTGCATCTTCTGAACTGGATGGTTTGTAAGGGCTTCTTTTAGTTGTTGAAAGCTACAGGAACTGTTTCAAGGT